ACTGCTTTTCCTGTTCTGACGCGCATTTTAGCGGAGCTTAAGCTTCTCACCACCGAAGTCGGCGAGATTGCCATGGCGGCCGCCGCATTTAACGACATGGCTGCTTGGATTCTCCTCGCACTCGCCATTGCTCTAACGGGCAACGATAACTCTGTTACAGTACAGAGAAGTTCGTTAGTTTCCGTGTGGGTCCTACTCTCTGGAGCTGGATTTGTCGTTTTCATGATGACGGTGGTCCGACCAGGAATGAAGTGGGTTGGACAGCGGTGTTCGTACGAGGATGACGCGGTCGAGGAGGGGTATGTCTGTTTGACGTTGATCGGAGTGTTGGTTTGTGGGTTTGTGACCGATTTGATCGGAATTCATTCGATTTTCGGGGGTTTTGTGTTTGGATTGACGGTGGCGAAGGAGGGGAGATTTGCGGAGAGATTGATCGAGAGGATTGAGGATTTCGTGTCGGGGCTTCTCCTTCCTCTGTATTTTGCGTCGAGTGGGTTGAAGACGAATGTGACGAAGATCAACGGCGGAAAATCATGGGGGCTGCTGGCGCTGGTTATTTCCACGGCGTGTGCAGGGAAGATTCTGGCGACGTTTGCGGCGGCGATGGCGTTTTTCATGCCGGCGAGGGAGGCGATGGCTTTGGGATTGCTTATGAACACTAAAGGCTTGGTGGAACTCATCGTGCTCAATATTGGGAAGGAGAAAAAGGTCAGTTTACTCAATAAAGCACAAAATCTAATGGTTTTTTTTCAATTTTAATATTTTAATTATTATAATATAATAAAATATTAAATGGGTGTGTTGGTGTGGGGTTAAAATGAACAACGTTTGATGACATTGAAAGAAGACATGTTTGGTCTTGGAACTGTTACATTGTCCTAGGAAACATTGGCCCTAATAAAGTAAGGAAAATGAAAGTATATCATTATGAGACACATACATGTTCTCAATTGAGGCTTTGCTAAGCTTTATTTATTCAACTTTCACGAACAAATGTTTTTTTTTAATGTGATGGGTCGGTTATAAATTGGGTCGGGTCGGTTTTATTCTTTAGTATAATTATTAGATAGGTCCATAGGGCGAGATAAATAAGCCTTCCTCATCCCTTATTATGTTTCTATCTCTATCCTACGAAATTCTCCATTTATTCATGCGAGAATCAAATTGAGATTCACGGTTAGATTCATAAGAATCAGAGTTTTCATAGCATTTTCGGTAAACACGGATTGTTCGTCCAATTTTGGGGAGGTGGGAAGGTGGGAAGGTATTTGTGGGTGAGAATTTGTTTAGAGAGAGCAAGTTCGTTAAAAAAAATGGAATATCCAAATTGAATGAGAATCTTATTTGGGTGGAGGGTAAATGAATATATGAATATATGTATAACATTTTGAAACTGTGAGGCTGATGGCTATACGTAACAGTCAAAAGCAGACAATATCTGCTAGCAGTATGCTTGGACTGTTATAAATGGTATCAGAGTTAAGCACTAAGCGGTGTGCTAATGAGAACGTCATGTCTCGAAAAGAAGTGAATTATGAAATCCCACATCGGTTAGATAGAGAGAAGAATGAAACATTTTTTTATAAGGGTGTGGATACTTCACTTCTTCCAAATAGACAAGTTTTAGAACATTTTAAATACTAATGGTCTTATGTAATAGACCAAAGCAGATAATATTAGTAAGAAATCTGATGAAATTAAGATGTGTCAAAACAAATAGGTTCTCAACGAAGAAGTATTCGCCATATTAGTGTTAATGGCACTATTCACAACATTCATCACCACCCCCACCGTGATGGCAATCTACAAGCCAGCCCGCGCCGCCGCCGCCACCCAAACCCACCGCAAACTCCGCCACCTCTCCGCCGCCGGGAACTCCACCAAGGACAGGTCACTAACAATCCTAGCCTGCCTCCACAGCTTAGGCAACGTACCTGCCCTCATCAGCCTGACCGAGTCAACTCGCAGCACCAAAACCTCGTCCCTCAAACTCTTCGTCATGCACCTCGTCGAACTCACCGAGCGCTCCTCCTCAATCCTAATGGCACAACGCGCCCGCAAGAACGGCTTCCCTTTCTTTGCCAGGTTCCGCAAGGCCAGCGAGTGGCACGACCAGATGGCCGCCGCCTTCCAGGCCTATATCCAGTTGGGCCGGGTCAAGGTCCGGCCCACCACAGCGGTCTCTTCCTTGACCACAATGCACGAGGACATCTGCGGCGTGGCGGACGATAAGAGAGTGGCGATGATCATCTTGCCGTTTCATCGGAATTGGAGGACGGTCAGCGGCGTGGAGGAGAATATGGGCCATGGGTGGAGAGTTGTGAACCAGCGGGTGCTGAAGAGTGCGCCTTGCTCGGTGGCGGTTCTTGTGGACCGGGGGTTAGGAGCGGTGGTTGGTGCGGCACAGAGGATTTGTGTGATGTTTTTTGGTGGTCCTGATGACCGAGAGGCGCTGGAATTGGGTGGACGGATGGCGGAGCATCCGGCGGTGAAGGTCACGGTGGTGAGGTTTCGGGCGTCGCCGCCGTCGGATGGAGTGGAGGGTAGTAAGGTCATTTCGCGACATATGTATTCTAAATCTAGCGACAGTCATTATAGCTTCTCCACTGCTCCAATAAACTGGGAAAAAGAAAAGGTACTTTTTTTTTTTTTTCGTTAAATCATTTCAAAAACAATTTAATGTTTAATTTCCAAATATTAATTAAATTTAATGTTCTGAAATAAATGCAAAAAAACAGGTGCTAGATGAAGCAGCAATAGCAGAATTCAGAGCTAAATGGGATGCAACAGCTGAGTACACAGAAAAGGAAGCCACCGACACGAACACGATAGTTGAAGGGGTGGTCGGGATCGGAAAGGAAGGCGGTTTCGACCTAATTGTGGTCGGGAAGGGTCGGGTTCCGTCAAGAATGGTGGCAAAACTAGCAGACCGGGCAGCGGAGCACTCGGAGTTAGGGCCGGTCGGGGACATATTGAGCAGCTCCGGCAGGGGAATAGTATCTTCAATTCTAGTAATTCAACAACACGAAGAAGAAGAAACTCCAGCATTGAATAAGCAGTCTTTCTCAATCAGAGGAGCTTCCATTAATGTATAAAAATCATAATTGTTACACTAAACTTTGATATATATCTCGATGTTTATCAAAAGAAGCCTAAATCGTCCCCACCGGATAGAAAAAATTGTTTTCCGAAGAAAAAAAAAAGGCTATCAATCTAATTTAACTCGATGCATAAGACTATATATATATATATATATATATGTTAGTAAGTTGGGCTTTCATACCGAAGGGGCCTGCACAAGTATGGCCCAGTTCAGAATGGGCCCATCAGAGGGAGTCATCGTCGGCCCAAAGGCCCAAGGCCCGAACAAAGCAAGCCGACCCGGCTACTACAACCGCGGCGAAAATAGGAGGCACGATCAGATCAATTCCGGATTTCCTAAACAGATTATCCGGAACGCAGACGACGTCTCCCGGAAAATTCATCGGAACCCTAACGAATCCAGCGGCCTTGCAGTGTGAAGCAAAAGACGAGGACGGAGAAATTGCGGAGGCGAAGGCGAGCTCGGGCGCGAAGGAGGCGGCGGCGACGGTGAGCGTCAAGAGAATCGTCCAGGAGGCGGAGTAGACAAGAAGCGGCCACCGCGATCGGAGACGACGGTACAGTAATCGGAGCATTTTCTTAGTTGAGATGTGGAGAAGAGGAAGGCGAGTGGACGTGGTTTGATTGATGAGCAGAATATTATTAGGGGTAAAGACGATGGATTAGGTTTTGACTGAGGTTTGATGATGACGCCATTGGTGGTTGAAATGGAGAAGATGTGTGTGTAGGGGATTTGATCCTCCACTTTTTTTTTTTTTTTTTAAACATTTCAAGTTTTATTAAATATATATTTTTTATATAAAAAAAAAAAACCAATAATGACGTTGAAATTAATTAAGAAATTAGGTGGAGTTTGGTGTATAAATTTGTAATTTATTGTATGAAGCTTTTAATTGTTTATGAACTAACAATCCATCTAATTCAACCTCCTTTTCTAGTTAACCTAATAACCACTCTTAAATCTCAAAAATCTCCTTGGGACCTGCCCCTAAGGTTGTATGGGTTGGGTTGGATTGAGTTACCTACCAATTATTCAACCAACCCAAACTTTTGGTTGATCCAAAAAAAATTCCTCAACACAACCCAACTCGAACCATGTACATCTATCATAATAATACTATTTGTCACAGTCGTACTTTTCTTGATAGCAAACATTACGATTGTGAGACACTCACTCCCAATACTCAATAATTCAAGCCAAATTGGATTTGCGTCGCCTACAACGTATGCTCAAGCCTCTAGCCCCGTTTTGAGAATAAAGTTTTAGAAAATAAGAAGAGAGAGATTTTCGAGAGCAAGTTTGAAAGTAAGAATGAAGGATGATTTGAAAGCAATGTTTATATAACTATAAACAAAAGACAACACAACGAGTTAAATAGCATATAATTTTTCGAGAATGAAAGATGATTTGAAAGCAACATTATATAACTATAAATAAAATGCAACCCAACAATTTAAATAACATATAACTTATGAGAATAAAAGATATTTGAAAGCAACATTATATAACTATAAATAAAAGGGAACACAACGATTTAAAACTTTTCGGGTAGGGTAGAGAGAATTTGACAACTAGTTGCATCCCTTATAGTACATTTTGAGGCGATTCAAGTTTGGCAGACCTAGACATAATTTTGTCGAATGGTCATATAAAATCAAGGGAGGAGACAACTAGTAAAGAATTCCTATAGAAAATGACGGAGGGACTGAAGATAAATTTTTCTTGTTACCCTATTGAGAACGAGGGATGGACTGAGGATAAATTTTTCTTCTTTAAGTAAACAAGGGCGGAGAAGGATTCTATTTCCCATCACACCACCCCCACCCGAATCCCCACCTTGCCTTATAGTGAGACATACCATCTAAAGTGTCGTTAGTCTGCCGAAGCACCATTTAAATGATCAAAGCTTTATATCATCGACTAAAAAGTTAGAAATTTAAATTTGAACTCACCCGGTTGTTGATGATAAGATTAGCGTATTCAGCAGCAGAAATGAACCTGTAATACTTCTACTGATTTTCATTACATTCACTGAAACATCCTGTTCTTAGTTCGACACACAAGAACACATCATTTTCATCTTCCTCGATAAGTTTTTCTGGGATACAAATCATCCAAGATACCTCCAAGAGTCGACAATGCATCGTGAAACTTTCGGATTTTAAGGAAACCCCTTATCGTTGAGATCTCGCTCTCTAAGAATTTAGCTTTCTCCATTATCATATCAACAAGCTTCACAAGTGTATCCTCCATGCCTAAAGTACAGAGACCTTCAGCCAACATAACAAACGATGAGATTTCAGGTATATTTCCTTTCTCTATCATCTCAACCGTGAAGTCCACGGCTTCTCCGATCGGTCCTCCGCCATTGCAGAGACCTCGATAAACTATCTTATACGTTATTGCATCCGGGGGAGCAGCCTTCTCCGACATCTCTCTGAAAAGTCTCATGGCTTCAAGAGTTCTGTTCCGTTTGAACAATGCTTGGATAACAGGATTATAGGCCTGTGGTGTTAGAACCATCCCTTTCATTTGAATTGATCGGAGAAGCCGACTCGCAACCTGAACTCTTCCTGCCCTACAGAGACCACCGATAAGCGTCCCGTATGTGACGATGTCGGGATCACATCCACTCGAGGCCATAGTTTGAACTATATCCGCCGCCTTTTTAATGTCACCGGTCTTGCAAAAGTGAGTGAGAAGTGAATTGTAGGTGAATTTATCAGGCTTCAAGCCCTCCATTATCATTTGATCCATCAAATGAGCAGCATCCTCCACTCTCCTGCTTTTACAAAGGCCATCAATAAGGATGTTGTAGGTCACTGAATCCCTTGAAACGCCTTGAAGTTCCATCTCATCAAATATCTCCTCTGCTTCTTCAATCCTCTTGTTCTTACAAAACCCATCAATCAATGTATTATAGATGACTACGTTACGAGCACAGCCGCTCGTCTCCATTTCTTTTAGCAGATTTAAAGCTTCCACCAGTTTCCCGCTCGAACAAAGACTGCCAATCAACATATTGTACGTAAACTCGTCAGGTCGACATCCTTTACCCTTCATTTCCTCGAAAAGGTCCATAGCATTCCTGTGACTGCTAGACATACAGAGACCCTGTATCAAGGAATTGAATGTGCACACATCAGGTAAAATTCCCTTGCTTGTAAGAAGACGAGCTATTTCAGTTGCCTCTTCGACTCGATTCTCCTTACACAAGGAGCTAATTAGAATATTATACGTGACAGAGTTCGGAGAGCAGTCCCTCGAAACCATCTGATCCAGAAGTTTCACTGCCTCCTCAATTTCACCCAGCTTACACAGTCCAGAAATCAGAGAGTTGTATGTGTATATATCTGGATCAAGTCCTTCTAAAAGCATTGCATCTACAACTTCCATGGCATGCTTAGGATGCCCGACCTTGCATAAACCATTCACGAGAGTATTATACGTAAACTGGTCGGGACAAAATCCTTCGTTCACCGCTTCTTGAATGAAACTCAAGGCTTGATCAATCCTACCCTGCTTGCAAAACCCATTAATCAAGACATTAACAGTGACATCAGTACAAGAACACCCATATTCTACCATCTGTTCTTTAATTCTCAGTGCACCATCAAAATTCCCCTCCTCAATGTATCCTTGCATTATAGTTGTGAATGTGGTCTCATCTGGAGACAAGCCATAACTTGGCATCTCTTCCATCATCAAAATGGCAGGCCTAATCTGATGAGCCTTGCAAAGGGCATTTATCAGAATGTTAAACGTCGTAACATCGTGCCTAATTCGTCTTCTAACCATGCTGGAATGTGCAGATTCAACAAGTTTAAGCTTGTTGGCATCCACAAGAACATTTAACAGTACATTATAGAAACGGGTATCAGGCTTTATCCTATATTCATCCTCCATTACTTTGACAATGTTCATAACTTCATCATACAGCTCAAAATTCGCATAACTCTCAACAAAAATCAAGAAAATACCTCTATCAATCTCACAACCAGAAAGCTTCATCTCCTCCAAGACGCGCCTCATGTACTCGAACGACCCTACCTTTCCAAGCTTGCGAAGAATCTCCTCGTAAACCGATGAACTGGGCACGAAGTTACGCTGCTTTGAAGCCCAATTGAAGATGCGAAGCGCCGAAACTTCATCGGTCTGGCGACGTAAGGTCTCGATAAGCTGCTTGGGAGTGAAATCTGGTGGAAGATGATGAACATTTGGTGAAGACGAAGAAGAATTCGAGGAAGATGATGAGGCGAGCTGGTCGGAAACTGAATTAGAAAAGAAAATGGAAGAATTCGAGATGGGTTTAGAGGGAAAAGAGAGGGGGGAATGAGGAAGAGACCATGGATAGCATTTTACACAAGTGAAAGCCATTGGGGCAATTCGACAAACACTTAATAGTGCAGGAATATTTTGAGAAGGTTCGCCGTTATCTTGAAGAGATCGGAGGGCTCTTAAGGTTTCGCCGCCAACATGGAAGTGAATCTCGGGAATCTGTGATAGAAATCGATGAAGACGATAACGCTGGATGAATTCACGAGCTTGAGCTACCCCTTCTCTCGGACACTGCTAGATTTGCGCTACCATTTCCATTTGATTATTTTTTTTTTTTTGGGGACAAATATTCCGTATTTATATTTGGATAAAATAGGTTTTAATATAGTTTCTATTTGGTCCCTATACACCCATTTTTGGCTATTTATATTACTTTTCTATTAAAAAATTTAATTATTTTAAATTAATTAATTATCACTAATTTTTAATTATTATTCAAATTAATTATAAAAACTACACATCATAATATTTAAATTAATTAATGGAGAGTCAAAAGTAAAAAGTAAAAAGGTAAAAGTTATAAAAGAGAATGACTAAATAGAAACCAAATTCAATGGTAATAATATAATATTTTGAAACTGAAACTAAACTCAAAATTTAATTAAAAAAATGTAACAATTTTAAATCTAAGAATTTAAGAACGAACTCAATATCTGTATATTAACCGTGTATTACTGATAAATCGTAAATTTAGTCCCTAAATGTGTACATAGTTCTCTAGAAAGTTTAATGTCTAAATCTTTTCACGAGCACGTGGGTTTAGGGTTTCATAGCTTTATGGCCCAACTATAGGACTTGAAATTTGGTGAATTTGAGCTTCGAATTCGAGTTTTGTTTAAATTTGATCCTAACCCATATAACTCAGATCGACTAAATTAAGTGTACTTATTTGGACAAACAGGCAAATGAAGACATTAACTTTTGACCTTAAAAGAGTTATGGTGGCTAAAAGTAGCCCGGAGGACTAAAAGTTTCGAGACCGAACTTGCGACGCGGTCGGTCTGCAGGGTCTGCAGTTCTATCGTCTCATGGCAAGGATCTTACTCACAGCTGAGAAGATTTTACAACAGCAAGTTCAGTTCAGACTAGCCCAAATGCAGCCAAAATCAATACTAACATAACTCAATGGGTCTTTCTAATCATAATTGGCACTAAAAAGAGGGGATAAAATGAGAAGACATGAAATGGGTTAAAAAGAAGGAATAAAATGAATATTAGATACAGCATTACTTTCAAAAGCAGCAATCCAAAGTAAAAAAAAACAAGTAGAAATTAGCATATGGTCTTTAGATAATACCTCAGACTCCATATATACTAGCTTTATAGGTATCGAACTCTCTAGACGATCACTCAAGACACGTTAAAAGGAATACCGTGTCGACACGGTAGACGACACACAGATGCATACTTGTTCAAGTAGAACAGAAGATTTCCATGACTCGCAAACTTTAAGCATTTCGATTAGTTTTAGCAGGCTTACGTTTCGTATTCAGTTGGCACGGCTTCGAATAACGTCGAGACCCATCTCGGTTGGATCAGTTGCTTGGAGTTCTACTTGTATTCCATCGAGCTCTCTCTTGAACCTTTCCTTGGAGCTTGCATATATCATCTTGCTTCTGACCCTTGAATTATCAGGAGACCTTCATTTAACGATGTAAATCGGGATTAGATGAAGTATTCGATCGCTGGATGTTATAAAAGAATCGACGTTACCATGCAATGAAGAAAATCCTGCTTTTTTGGCAATTTTCTTCTGTGACAAAGTCGAAATCATAAACAGCATAACGACACTCGTCAGCAGGGAGACTAGCAGCGAAATCCTCGTAACTTTGGCTAGGACCGCCAAGTTTCTCCACGACTACTTGCTTTAGCTTCTCCTCGATCTTAAAGACGATGAAACGATGAGTTCTTTTTGACTTGAGCTCCAAGAATTTTAACTTGCATTCATCGTTCACAGCCATTCCTGATGCTGCATTGGCCTGTAAGATTCATAAAAGAGTGTTCATATCAACACATTTTGATATGAATACAGAAATGTGTGAAAATGATTTCCCCTATTTCTTTGCAGAAGAAAAAGGTAGTGAAAAGGAAAATCACAACTCAAGATTAAACAGTAATTGATATTCTCCTGTTCATGATCCAAGAACATTGATTATTGCAACTGCAAACCTCCATACAACTTTGTTTGTAATTGCCTAAACGCACGGCTAGCAAATATTGTCCGCTTTGGTCCGTTACATATCGTCGTCAGCCTCACGATTTTTTAAAACGCGTCTATTAGGGAGAGGCTTCCATACCCTTATAAAGAATGTTTCGTTCCCTTCTCCAATCGATGTGGGATGTCACAATCCACCCCCTCTTGGGGGCCTAGCGTCTTTTCTGGCACATCGCTTGGTGTCTAGCTTTGATACCATTTATAACGGTCCAAGTGCATTGCTAACAAATATTATCCGCTTTGGCCCGTTACGTATCGCCATCAGCCTCCCAGTTTTAAAATGCGTATACCGATCATAAAACTAAATCATACACTTCTTTCACATAAAATCAATTCCAACACAAACCAGATCAGATATACACAAATCCCAGAGCAAAACTTACACACCAAAACAACTCAAAAAACCAATCCAATCCAGTCCAACCAAACATATTCAAACAATCCAGTCAAGCAGATTCCAGATCAAACACATTTCCCCTCTCAAAATCGGGACAATCAAGACAATCATGAACACAAACCCATCTGCATCAGCACTTTCAACAATTTGACATTCGATGTAATAATGAAAACAAAAAACATAAATCATGGGGTTACCATTTTTGACGTTCGATGGTTGCGGAAGATCACAATGAACAGAGAAATTGAAGAAGATGATTGATATAGAGATAGAGTAATGTTTGTTGAGCGATGAGAGAATGAAAAGAAGAGGGAGTTGAAGAATGGATGAACAAAATTTGGGGGTTACATTCGGTGGTTGAGAGGGTTAATTACGGCGCCAGTGAGTGATTCAAGTACCGCCAGAGGAGCGTGTCGTATTTTGGTGTAAACAAAACGATGATGAGCTTCGGCTTCAACAAAAACCCAATCCGGATAAACTCAAACAAATTCTCAATTAATTAATTAATGGTGAATTATTTAATTCAATTTAGAAATTTATTTTCAAATTTGCAATTAAGTCCCTAGTACTTCATGCTCATATTTTAATAAAATTATATATTTGGGCCTTTGCGTAATTTTCACTTTCTTGTTCCTTTTGGAGTAATTTTCGCTTTTTTGTTCCTTTTTGAGTAATTTTTACTTCTTAAGTCATATATATGAGCCGATTGAGCGACGCCGGCTTAGATATTTGTTGGGCATTGACTGTATTAATTTTGGCTAAATTTTGTTGACTTTGAGTCCAGTCCACAGTCTTTATTTTTGGCTTCCATTACTTTAATCTAATTGTTTTTTTAATGCATTTTTTTAAATACAAAATTAGTTTAAAATTAAAACATTTACATTTTTTAATACATTAAAAATGTTTTGATAAGGACGAGGTCACTTGCAACAACCCAACATATATTGTCCATTTTAGCCCGTCACAGTTTTGGAACGCGTCTATTAGTGAGAGATTCTACATCCTTATAAGAAATGTTTTGTTCTCCTCTCCCACCAAGGTGGGATCTTACAATCCACTACCTTGGGGGCACGCCGTCCAATATCTTGTCTCTGATACCATTTGAAACAACTCAAGCCCACAATTAGTAAATATTGTCCGTTTTGACTCGTTATGTATTGTCGTCAGCCTCACGGTTTTAAAATGCGTCTATTAGGAAGAGATTTTCACATTTTTATAATAAATGCTTCTTTCCCATCGATGTGAGATCTCATATCGCTGCAATGTTAGATGAAGATAATTGTCGTAGTGATCTCCATAGACAAGTAGTGGCAATGGCCACATAGAGGAAGACGATGATTATCGAAGGTCGGTAATGGCAGCAAGTGCTAGCGATTGGACAATGGCGGTGGTGGCAGGCACTAGCAGTGAGGATGAGCGGTAGAGAGAGAGGCTTCAACAACAGGTGAGTAGTGCATGTCATATATACATACATACAGGCTTCAATGACGGGTGATGGGTGCGTGCCATATATACATATACATACATGCATACACACGCTTCAACAATAGGTGATGGGTGCGTGTCATATATACATATACATACATACGCCCACACGCTTCAACAATGAGTGATGGGTAATACATATACATACATACATACACACGCTTCAACAATGGGTGATGGGTGCATGCCATATATACATATACATACATACATACGCTTCAACAATGGGTGATGGGTGCGTGCCATATATACATATACATACATACATACACACGCTTCAACAATGGGTGATGGGTGCATGCCACATATACATATACATACATACACATGCTTCAACAATGGGTGATGGGTGCGTGCCATATATACATATACATACATACAAGCTTTAACGACTGGTGATGGGTGCATGTTGTCACAACCATAGAAGGTAAGACCGTGACACATGTCATACATACATACCGACGGATGATGGATGTGTGCGATGCATGCATACATGGTGGGTGAGCATAAAAATTTAAATTTTATATTGTATTAAAAAGAAAAGAAAAAAAGAAAAAAAAGGAAACTATTAAAATAAAGAACATCGTGTCCGGGGGAGGCCAAAAACCCTAACCCCTGAATATCATCTCTGTTGTAGCGTGGTTTTTCTCTTTTCTCATCGGCCGATCAAATCAGATGGCTTTCTTCTCCACTGTGAGGCGCGTTCTTAACGGTTCTTCCTCTTCTTCTTCCGTTCTCCGATCACAATGGACTTCTTTTCGTCTCAGCTCAACTCTCACATCGCCTAAGCTCTTCATCAGTGGTACGTTTCGCAGAAAAAAACAATCAGCTCGTAACGCCTTTTTTTTACCCCTTTGATTTTGTTAATTTCATCCATTTGGATATTGAGAATGATATGGTAATTTGGTATTAGGCTCTAATTTCTGTTTGGATGCTGGGAAATTTCTGAGATTGTTGCTCACGCTTTGTCTCCTATACTCAACCGAATAGTTTCGATCGGAGAAGTAAATGGATTAATCGTTAATCTATTATGCTCTGTTCTGTTCCATTTTTTGCACTTTATTTCTGGTATTTCTCTTCAAGTGGAAGGAAGCTTCTTTCCCTATTTGCACTTGTGAAATTACTTCGCACTTTAGTAAGTGGGGGGATTTGTTTTGGCGTATGGAATTGGACATTTATTCCGATTTTATGTGCCTGCTTGATGTCTCGAACAATTCTTGCATTGGAAAGTTCCAAGAAATCTTTGCTAATTCATGTTTATGCGACTCGATATGCGCTTTGCGTTTGAAGGTTTGCTATTTGACTGACAAACCTTGTAAGTACAATGGAGTACTAAAAATTTTTCCCTCCCCCCCATCCCATTGATAAACCTTCTCATTTCTGGGTTTCTATTTTTTTGTCTTCTTTCAGAGGGGTTTTTTCTTAGTACTATAGTGAACCTCCTCCATCTATCTCTTGAAGGATAAGATATTGTTCACGTTGGACATAAATGCTCGTCACATTACTTTTGGCTTTTTCAAAATGACTCGTACCAATGAAGATAATTGTAACGGCCCAAGCCCACTGCTAGCAGATATTGTCCTCTTTGGGTTTTCCCTTTCGAGTTTCTCTTCAAGGTTTTTAAATTGCATCTACTAAGGAGAGGTTTCCACTCCCATCTAAGACAATTTGGTCGAGTGATCTAAGGTGCAACTTTCTTTTCGGTGGCTCATTCTTGAAAACTCCAAAGTTAAGCGTGTTTTGTTTGGAATAATTTTATGTTGGGCCGTTACAAATGGTACAGAGCCAAACACTGAGAGGGGGTGGATACAAGGTGGTGTGCTAGCAAGGATGCTGGCCTTGAAGGGGGGTGAATTGAGGGGTCCCACATCAATTGGAGAAGGGAACGAGTGCCAGTGAGTACGTTAGACCCCGAAGGGGGTGGATTGTGAGATCCCACATCGGTTGGGGAGAAGAACGAAACATTCTTTCTAAAGGTGTGGAAACCTCTCTCTAGTAGACGCATTTTAAAAACCTTGAGAGGAAGCCCGAAAGGGAAAGTCCAAAGAGGACAATATCTTCTAACGGTGGGCTTGTGCTGTTATAATAATTGTCCTCCTTTAAATATCCATGACCACTCTCTTCCTTGGCCAATGTGGAAGTTTGTTTCATATCCTAACTGTTCTTATCCTTTCTTCACAATTTGAAGATTAGTAAGTGATATATTAGGTATGTTTCATTGGTCTACACTTTTCTTAAATGTTGTTATGGTAAACAAGTAGTTTAAAAATTATAGTAACAGAAAATTTTCTTGTTATGGTTGGATATTGAATGACCTCCACATGATATTTTTTCATAATCTAATATTCTTTATGAACTTGCATCAGCCTAAGTTTTGATTTGTGGCTGAGCCATGATGAACTGTTTGACCTGTTTTGGATTGGTTTCATTCTTATAAAATGCACAGGTCTTTCAAGATTAACAACAGATGAGAAGCTCCAGGAAGCCTTTACTTCCTTTGGTCAGCTTGTAGAAGGTCTAACTTTCTCTCCCTCTCTCAAATTTACAATTCCATGAACATCTGTTGCAGAGTGCACCATGTTGACACTGCCTCAACATTTGTACAGCAAAAGTTATAACCGATAGGGCAACGGGAAGATCAAAAGGGTTCGGGTTTGTAACGTACAGTACAATAGAAGAGGCTGAGAAAGCAAGAGAAGGAATGAATGCCAAGTTTCTGGATGGATGGGTTATTTTTGTTGATCCTGCCAAACCCAGGGAGCCTAGGCCGCCGCCTCCTCCACAGCCTCAATCTGCTGAGACCTCTGAATTTGGTATCAGGACAAACAAGACAATTGGTTGGTGTGGTTGATTGATTGCTTGCAAAATCTATATGAAACTTCATATGATTTTGGTTATTTTTTCATATTGTTCATCATCCATGGGTACTATAGTATGGATAAGTTTCATGAGACAATACCTTAGGAGCCTGAAAAGGGTAAATTTTTGTCATATGTATGGATTCAGAAAGAGGGGAAAGGAGCTTTTCATTAAAACTAAACATATTTAATTATTATTATTATTATTATTTGCATACTTGTTTTATTAATTAGATTTAAATTATAATTCAACTGTTAATGCATATCTTATTTTATAAAAGGTTAGAAGTTTGGGAAAGTGTTGGTTTTCCAAATTTAAATCATAAAATTAAGTAGAAATAAATAAAATTATTTTTAAAAAAGTGAAAATTACATTTAACAAATACAGCGCGTGTGGTTCACTTTCCCATTTTATTCACTTCATTTCAAACTGTCATCACCGTTGAAAGCCCGTCGTTAACTTCCCTCCAATTTTCACTTTTTTTTTTCTGATTGTTTCCCGAGAAAATATTTTTTTGTGTTCACCAATGGACTCTCGCGGAAAGGGTAAGAAAGGCGCTGCCGGCACAAACGACGGCAGCGACGGCGGCGGCGTCTCCAAGAAGAAGTCAGTGCCTCGTTCCGTGAGAGCCGGCCTCCAATTTCCGGTCAGCAGAATCGGCCGGTACTTGAAACAGGGCCTGTACTCTGAGCGGATCGGAACCGGCGCTCCGATTTACCTTGCAGCCGTGCTTGAGTACCTTGTTGCGGAGGTGAATTTCTATCACTTAATTTAGGGTTTCTTTTAAGGTGATTTTATTGATGGATTGAATTCTTGGATTGTAAATGCATTCTTCTTTTTCTCTAATTTTCTTGCACTTTTTTATTTTTGGAGACAGAATTCCCAATTTCAAGCCCTTAGGTGTTTTTTAAAAAAGATTTTTATTTTTCCGTAACTTAACTTATTATTATATTGTCCACATCTCATCCCGCCTAAACTCTTATGACTTTGTTTTGTGATCTTATAAAAGGCTCAAAGTATTTCTTAACCATGATCATTCCCTAAATTAGTAGGCTCGTAACAATTGAGAGAGTATTCGTTAACAATATCATTCCCTAAATTAGCAAATGTGGGTTCATCCAACACTTGTGAGATCCACATTCATCAGATCCCACTATTAAAATATCATCACTAGTCAATAGGTTAGAGTGTAAGCCCAACTAAAATAGTGCCAACTATGTTAGGAAAATACTTTAAAATTTTCGAATTTTAAAAATAAATTTATGAGATTTAAATAAAATTTTAGGAATAGATTACCTATTTTAGAAATAAATTTAAGAAAACGATCTAGATCATAAATTTTAGGAATATACTTACCATGATTTAAATTTAGGAATAGATGGCCTAATTTTAGAAATAAATTTAGAAAAATGATTTAGATAAAGATAAATTTTTGGAATAGATAGCTTAATTTTAAGAATAAATTTAGAAAAATAATTTAGATACGAATAAGTTTTAGGATTATCTATCAGTATAAATACCCCTCCACTCTATCATTCCAAGTAATACAAAGCCGTAGTTAAATTAATTAAGTGGGCTAGTGTTGCCAGTGTTTCACATAGAAGTTGTCTAACTCGGTTGTAGAGGGGGATGAAACACTCTTACAAATGGTATGGAAACCTTTCCCTAGCAGACAAGTTTTAATGACCTTGAGGGAAAGTTTTAAGAGGACAATATCTACTAGCGGTGGGAGATTTTTTACAATATGGTTTGGTGGAGTGAGATATACAGTAGATTAAATTATGGTATAGGTTTTGGAAGTGGCAGGAAATGCAGCCATGGACAACAAGAGGAACAGGATCACCCCGAGACACATTGTTTTGGCGGTGAGAAACGACGAGGAACTCGCAAAACTTTTCAGCGAGGTGACGATCCCGTTCGGTGGGGTGGTTCCGAACATCAACCCAGTTCTTCTTCCAAGGAGATCTGAGAAGAGAGCAGCAGCAGCAGAAGAGCAACCGCCGTCCCCCTCCAAGAAGGCCTAACTTCCTCAAATCCCCACATTCTTAAATATTCTTTGCTGTTCTTAGATTGGACTTTTCTTCATGTTTTTAGGACTTCATTTTGAGGAAGAAAATAAAGAATATTCACTAAAACTATTAATATTTTAATCCTCCGATTACATTTGTACCGACCCAAACCTTGGGGCCGTAGATATTGTCATTCTTTAGTTTTTCCTTTCGGGTTTCTTTGAAAACCCATTTATTGGGGAGAAACCTATTTATTGGGGGAGGTTTCTATTCCCTTATAAAAAAATATTTGGTTCTCCTCTTCCACCAACGCGAGATCTTATAATCAACTTTGCTTTGGGGCAACGTCATTAATGGCACACCACCTTGGGGCTCAACCTACTCGCTCATATATCACTCGTTGTCTGGCTCTAATACCATTGGTAACAACTCACACCCACTACTAACAGATATTATTCTCTTTGGGCTTTGCATTTCAGGCTAGAGGAATGAACTCTTTTGGGCTTTGCATTTGTAACAACTCAAACCCACCACTAGCAGATTTTGTTTTCTTTGGGGTTCTTTAGGCTTTGCATTTCAGGCGGAAGGGATGAACTCTTTATCCATGTAGTGGAAGCATTGGGAACCAAGAGATCGGAGCAGAATAGTTTCAATAATTCTCTTGAGCCTACAACGGGAGCTGAAGAAAATTTTTGTTAGTATTTTCATGTAGTTTAAATATTGTTTTAGATTTGTTTCTAAATTTGTGGTTCCGAGATTTGTGTGGTAAGGCTATAAAAGCCTATCCAATAATATAATCACTTCTAACTTCAATTGTTTATGTTTCTGGCTTGGTCAAAACCTAACAATTCTATCGGATTGGAGAAGAATAGTTTCGAGAATTCTCTTGTGGGAGTCTTTAGAGAAGTAACATATTGGAGAGAACATTTTCGAGAATCTCTTGTGAAGCCTCCAGAGAGAATAGTATAAGGGATTGGAGAAAATAGTTTCGAAAATTCTCTTGTGAGCCCGATGAAATATAATATCTTATATAAATCATATTTAAATATTATAAGATATCCCAATATATTTAACTAATTTGAATTTTAAATATATTTTTATTTTTCTATTAATTTGAATCATTCAAATTAATATATTTTTTATCATTTATATTTAACATATCTAATATATTTAATATTAATTTGATATCTTCAGATTAAATATATTTTATCTATTTATTTAATATATTTAATACCCTATTTATTTAATATATTCAATATTAATTTAAAATTTCAAATTAAATTTATTTTCTTTCTATATTTAATATATCTAATAAAATTAAATATTAATTTAAGCATTTCAAATTTTTTTTCAAAATAAATAAATAGAATCTTTTAGCTTTACTATTAACTACAAAAAGATGTGCAACAGATTATAAGTTCCAATAATACAAAATTAATTAATTAAACTTTTTAATTAATCGATTTTTATTTATTACCTATAAGTCACTCTACTATAGACTTAGAGTGCACTCTTATGAGATATAAGAGTTGATGTAAACTCCAATAATACAAAATTAATTAATTAAACTCTTTAATTAATCAATTTTCATTTATTAATTATAAGTCACTCTAATATGGAGCTAGAGTTGCACTCTTATGCTGCAGGCAAGTTATGTCTATTGATATAATCAAAGTTGATCCTTCACGAGTTGTTCATAATTACAACTGGGTCAAAAGTCCGTTTTACTCCTGTAATTACCTCTTTCACCTTAAGTGCCATTGAATAATTTATTTATGATCCAACCATAAACTAAGTCCCTTCCGGCCAATGAGAGGGTGAGGCTCCATTGTTTAAGTCACGAAATCAGTACTTAAAAGAACAACTCATCTACTTCCCTTATATGGAAAGTAGTGAATTTGAGAGGGTGGGGCTCAATTGTTAAAGTCTCGAAATCAGTACTTAAAAGAACAACTCATCTACTTCCCTTATATGAAAAGTGGTGAATTCTATCTCATGATATTATGTTCCCAACTCCCTATCTAGTCAAGTCCCCAAATGGTAGGCATATTGAATCGACGAACATAGTCATTCTCACTCATATAAATTAAATGGACAAACCCTCATATAAATTAAAGGACAAGCCCTCTCAAACAAAAGTTTATAACTCACTTAGAATTAAGATCTAGTTGTATAGAATCATCATGTGAAATATTAATATTTTCAATACCCCACTTACATGTCTCTACATGAACGATTTAGATCAAATAATTTGTAACGATTACAAAGTGAACTGAATAATAGTGTTATCAAGATAAATCACTCAACATTATCCATATACTATAAACCCTATAGATTATTACTTGAATACAATTTCTGGTATGTCAACCACGTACTTTTTAAAATTACATTAATAACCTTTTATTTTTATAAAAGATAAGAATTAAATTACAAATAAAATAATAAAAACATTTTCAAGAAATCTTCCCTAAAATTTCCAGGAAGAGATTTACACAAGGAAATAGTAAATTTTGAAAACTAAATTGAGCATAAAAACATGAGTTGGAGGATGAGAGAGAAATGTTGGAAGGAGATATTTGACGGTCAGTTAATTAGATATTTTTGGTCCTGATGAGAGAGGAAAGCATTGAAAGGAATTGGTCCTTTTTCCGCAAAAAGAATCTTCAACTAATTAGATTCAATGTACTAAATTTTAGATTCAATGTACTAAATTTTAGTCTTCCACATGCTATTAATAATACTTGACAGAGAACAATATCATAAGAAAATTTTAAAATATTGAAAAATGGAACCACTTCAAAATACATTCAACGTCATTACAATGGGCTTTTTATATATAAAAAAAAAAAAAACGAAAAAATATAGCCATTGATCTAACACTAGTATGATGGCCGTGTAACATTTTTGATTCAATCCTTGAAACAACCATTTATAGGCATATTAACAAAACATACTGTAAATTCAAGTATGATAGCATATGAACAAAACCATACGGACAGGAAAATCTTTTAGAGGACTACCGCCTCAAGCTCTCCACTATGTAGTCTGCATAGAGATTCCTGCATAAATAAGAAAGTTACAATGACCATCAACGCTCATGGTTATTAGAATTATAAAGCCGTTATGTTTAGGGTTTAGGGAGTTCCACATTGACTAATTTAGTGGAAGATTGTGGGTTTACAAGCGAGAAATACTATCTCCATTGGTATGATGAAGCTTTTTGAGGAAACTCAAAACAAAACCACGAGAACTTATGTTTAAAGTGGACAATATCATACCATTATGAAAAATTGTGATTCTGAGTGGTACTACCAAATTACAAAAGCCAAGAGATATTTGCAATGCTTACATTGAGTGGTGGATGGCCTTTAAGGCATCAGTGGCTGGCAGAAAGTCATTCACAGCGACCTCCTTGTTCTCATTCTTCTTGTCTGAATAGTTTAGTCAAGGAGAAATATGCAAGATGAGGATTCAAAAAAACATTCTAAGTTTGTTCTCGCTGATGATGTTAAAAATTATCAAACTAGTTTAAGGATACAGTCTTCAAAGAAACGACGAATCTCAGCCAATCGATGTGGTGGGAGATCCTTGATGTCATTGTAGTGACGGTATTCGGGATCATCGGCACAAACAGCAATAATCTTGTCATCTTTTTCACCCTGCATTAAATTGTTATTAGACCTCTCTGTTATTTAAGAACACAATATAACATTTTATTCGAGAAGAATTACCTGGTCAATCATAGGCATTAGGCCTATAGCTTTAGCCCTCAGGAAACAACCAGGAAGAACTGGCTCCTGAAATATTTCAGAGCAACATCAGTTAAAATGTGCCCCCATGTTATTATAAGTGCTACTTTAATTGAAGAAATTGAAGTTGTACCTGCATGATGACCAAGACGTCGATGGGGTCATTGTCCTCGCAAAGAGTCCGAGGAATAAAGCCATAGTTATGTGGGTAAACAACAGATGAGTAAAGAATCCGATCAACCTGAATAAACATGAGTCGCTTCATCTCACTGGCCACAGATAAAATCCATCACGAATAAAAAGTGATTAGCTTATTATTACCTTGATTAGACCAGTTTTTTTGTCAAGTTCATACTTCACTTTGCTTCCTTTTCCTATCTCAATAACCTGCATGATGAAAAATCATCAAGATTGAACTTATGCATTGATTCACCATTAAAACATTTGTGAAACTTCGAAAGTCAATCTGCTAAAGTGCTAATATAAGAAGAAGAAAATAGGAAACCAATTAAGAATACTGATACACCAATTGAATAACATCGATATACCAACTACAAAGTTGTTACTGTTCAAGGCTCATGACACTCTCATGAAATTATATCACATACTAATACAATCAATTCAAAAAACACCATATATGATAGTATTTTATTCAGATCAGCATCCTTACACAGTTGAAAATCTTTGGAGCCCCAGGTCCTGAAATAGAATTAGAAGTTCGTTTATTAGTATACTATAACAACTATAAAACCTCAATCACCAGAAAAAAGGTATAATAAAAAACATACCTATCTCAAGATCATGCCAAGGATGTGCAGCAACAGATCTCCTAGTCATTGAAGAAAGAATTCTCTCATTCAGTGGTGGGTGTGGAGAAGGATGAGCATTGTTTGTTGTTCCATTTGAAGAAGCCATAATAGCAGGCTGGAATTGTACGCACCAAATTAGTACATTCTCAAAAGAAATTTAGATTTGAGGATGTATCTTAAGACACTCTATAAAGTATACGTTTCCAAGCACACTATTCATGGCCCAATTCTTTGCCATACCAGTTTATAATGAAACTTCTCATGAATAAATTCAATATAACAGACCAGTTTTATCAGAAGAAGGAATTTGTTCAAGATATATAAATTTATGTCCCAAGACTGTAACAAGTATTTACCAATCAAGTTAATACTAAACCTTATCAGAAACAGATAAATGCATCAAGTTTACGTTTAGACTGAACTTACTTAAGAATTACTGGTGGAATATGAAAGAAATTGTGCAAGGAAAAGTTAAATCCTTCCACAACCTTCCATATCAATATCATAACCTCCGGAATCCAGATACGAAAAAAATTTCGTCAAACATTCACGTACGAATTCATTCTCACTCATTTCAACTATCTGCTCGGTTTCTCTCAAAACCAAGCATCTCTGCTTCTTTATTCAGGTATCCATGTAATCAGAGTAACAGTTATCAACGTTTCAACGCATTCACTATAACAATTCACTAGAGCAAAAGAAACTAAACAAACAACGATCTTCTGGATCTGCCATACTAGCACCGTCATGCAACACAAAGCAGAATGAAGCCAGATTTATCTCATAAAACAACAGACTCTATCAATCACAATGTAGTTCAACCACCGACAAAATCATTAATCCGCTCCAGTAACTCCAAAGATCAAGGACAAGGAGGCAGATAATAGAAAACGGACAACATACTACAAACGCGATTCAGAACTCATTATACAGAGATAGCCGAAACAGAAACCGAAAACAAACAAGAGAAACCGAAGGTAAAAGGCAGAGAGATCGAAGATCTAGAGCTGAGAAATCAAACCTGAAAGCTTCAGAGTGACAAATGGAAGGCGAAAACCGAAGCGCAGATCTCAATGAAAGAGATTGAGCGTGAAGGAAGCAGTAGCAAGAAACGCTCTGCACGAGAGAAAGCAAAGAGTAGCTGTATGCTTACCCCCTCTCTCCTCTTACACCTATTTAAAGGAAACCAAAGAAGAGGAAGAGAAAACAGAGCAGACAAAAGCGAAAATTCTCCAGTTTCTTCCGCGCATTAACAAATTGAAATTGGTAAAAATAGTAATAAAAATAAATTGTATTATTTTTTTAAAAAAATTATAAATAATTTAAAAACAGATATTCGGGGATGTGAGACTATTGTTGGTTCCAGCTACAGTTAGTTGTGAGTCAAAACGCGTCGTTTCGTTCCGTGAGAGCACTGGGACCCACTGGGAAAACGGAGTTATTCTTCGGTTTGATCCAATGGCGTTACCGTTACAGTTACCGTTACCGTTACCGTTTGCCAAGCCAAGACGGTGAGGAGTCATTATTACGTGTTTGGTTGAAAATTCATAAAGCAGCATGATTTATTATTCTTTTTTCTATTTCCTCCCATTTTTTTTTTCTATTTTACGGTTTTTTCCAATTAAAAAATTATGAATTAATTAAAATACTATTTTTAAAATTAAACCTACCAAATAAAAATTTATTAAATTCTTTCTTATTATTATATCAATCTAATTTTTTAAAAAATATTAAAATAATTATATAAATTACTTCTAATTTATACCTCGAGAAAATTTACCGTCTAATTACATTATAAATTTTTAAAAAATATTTCTTATATTCACTAATATTTTAGGTGTTTTTTAATATATCATATTTTATAAATTAATTTTTTTCGAGACTTATAATTTTAATTCAAATGGATAATTCGTATTATTTTTATAAATAAATACAAATATGTAAATTATTTTTATAAAATTATAAAAATAATGCTCTTAAATTTTGATCCTTTTTATAAAATAAAATAATATATGGCAATCGGCTGTTTGTTTGGGCGACCATTGACGTTTCCTCCGCTTTAAAATGAGAATAATTCAATTTTTTTTTTTTTCTTAGGCTGAATTTTTCTTTTTTTTTTTCTTTTTTTTTTTCCTTTATTTTCTTTAGTTGTGACGTATTTTAATTACAAGCAACTATTAGTCAGCCTTTGAATTAGTAATTAATTTTTTTAATTAAAAAAATGATTTTGTTATTCTTGCAACAAGTAAAGAATATTCGTTGAAGAAGAGATTTGTTAGAATATAAAGTAGTGAAAGTTGAAGTAAAGTGCACGAGGTTGAATAAAGTGAAAGTAATTAGGAAGAAATGTTGTAAAGTGAGATATTATTCAGTAAAATAGTTTTTACTTTTACTTGGAGTTGATTGATTTTAATGTTTATAGCATTATAATCACGATTGAAATGTTAGAAGTTCAATTTCTTATCTTCGAATTCACCGTCTCATCGTCTTGAGACATATTGTACGCGATAGTATCATTAGAATGGACAAAGAAAGCTCAAGCTCATCGCTAGCTGATATTGTCCTATAACAGTCCAGACATTTCCTTCAAGAGATTTCGCTAATAGTCCCAGTATTTCCCTTCGATAGCTTCCCCTAACAGCCTAAGCAGGCTTTCCCTAAGAGCTTCCCTAACCGACTAAGCTCATCGTTAGCAGATATTGTCATATATAGACTTTCTGTTAAGAGACCAAGCTCATAGCTATGTTGGATCTCTCCGCTAGTAGATATGGCTTGGGCTTTCCTCCCTTCAACAGCTTCTCCTAATTGACCAAACTCACAACTAGTCGATATTGTCATATATAGGCTTTCTCTTAACAAACCAAGCTCACAGCTGTGTTGGATCTCACAACTAGCAGATATTGCTTGGGCTTTCCCCTAATAGCCCAAGCAGAATTTCCCTTCAAGAGCTTCTCACCAAGCCTACAGTTAGCAGATATTGTCATATATATAGGCTTTCTCTTAACGGACAAAGCTCACAGTTATATTGGATCTCAGCTAGCAGATATTACTTGGGATTTCCCCTAATAGCCCAAACAGGCTTTCCCTTCGAAAGCTTCTCCTAACAGACTATGCTCACAACTAGCAGATGTTATCATATATAGGCTTTCCCTCCAAGAGGTTCTCCTCAAGGTTTTAAAACGCATATACTCGGAAGAGGTTTTCACACCATTATAAGAAACGTTCCGTTTCCCTCTTTCACCGATGTGAGATCTCACAATCCACCCCCTTGGAAGCCCAGCGCCTTCACTGACACACAATTCAATGTTCGACTCTAATACCATTTGTAGCCGCCCAAGCCTACCATTAGCAGATATTGTTCTCTTTGGCTTTCCCTGCCTCTAAAATACTTCTATTAGTTAGAGGTTTACCCACCATTATAAGAAATGTTTTGTTCCTCTCTCCAATCGATATGGGATCTCACATAAAGGTTACAATAAAAAGAACTAAGAAACTCTCAAAATCTCGTAAAAATTTAATAAATAATCAAATTACGATTATAAAACGGGGTCTTGAAGACAATCATTCATTGTAAGTAGACTACAACCATGATTTCAATAAAGCACATGTTTGGAAAGAGGGAGAGAATTTTGAGTAGAAAAGGCGTAAGTTGTTGGCGTGTTGATGCTCCCATCTTTGGTGATCTCTCTAGCTTGTTAGTAGCTTTGAATGATGCATTATTTGCTTTCTCTTCACGCACCTAACCTAAGCTCACCTCACCAAACCACATGTTTGATTTCATCTAATTTGATGCCAAAATGATGGGTCGCATCCCTTCAAATAATGACCCTTATACGTCAAACAAAATCTTTGACAAGACCCAAACAATGTGGCTAACAGATGTGTCTATTTAATGTATGGATCCGTCTCGAATAAGATGAACATTTCTCATTTAAATAGAAGATAAGTGAGTCAATAAAGAGTAGTTAAATAGGTCGAAAACAATAATTATATTTCTGTCCTTAGAGCTCCCGACCTCCTAAATTTGTGCCTTTCATATTCTTTTGAAGGAAGAAGAAGTGGGGATAGAATGTGTTCGTTTTTGGCTACAAAATGATTCATATTCTTACAAATAAAACATATTATGAACTATCGTTTTCGAGGTAGAGAGAGCCCTATAATCGGGAATAAGGTTCTAATAACTATTTTAATATTTTTATTAGTTTTTTTTTTAAAACAAAATCAAGCTTATAAATACTATTTTTATATTTAAGTTTCGAATTTTAAAGTTTATACATCATAGAAAATTATTCTAATAATGATTGAAATTCAGCTAACAATCATTATTTAATTATTAGAGTTGTTTATTAAAGATATAGTTTCATATTAAAAAATTATGTATGATTTTGCTTTCTTAAAGAGAAAAAGTTTAATGCATGTTCTTCCACCGCTATCATCTTATAATATGTTATTTTGGATATCTATTTCTTAAAAAAATGCGAATGTCTTTTAATAATGAATAAATGAAGCAATCATTTAAAAAACATTTAAAACACGATTCTCTTATTATACTTTAATTCAATTAATATATTATAAAATAGAGAACGAGAAAAAAAAACACAATTTAATCTCTTATAAAAAATTATCACTGACACAATCGCACTTTTAAAAGCAGCGGACTAGCGATTGTGCGGCATTTACTTTCCAACGACAAGTGAGCTAAGCCAATTTGTTCTTGCGTCGCCTACGGCCAAGCGACGTATGATCAAGCCTCTAGCCTCGGTTTTGAAAGAAGGTTTTGGAAAACGAGGGTAGAGAGAGATTTTAGAAAGAGAGATTTTTAAAAGAGACGTTATATAAGCAAGCAAGAGAGAGATAACAACGGCTTAGCATATATAACCTTGGGTAGGGGGGAAGGAACATATACAAATTTCTCCTCATCAAACAGAACTAGAGATAAATATTACATTCAACGTCTTTGTCTCCGACCTCGACCTCGACCCTACCTAACTCCACTTTTATATATATATATCTAAAGAACTAAAGATAAATATTACAGACGTGTTTTAAATCCTTGAGGAGAAATCCGAAAGAAAAAGTCCAAAGAAACAATATTTGCTAGTAGTGAGCTTAGACCATTACAAATGGTATCAGAGTCAGACATCGTATGATGTGCTAGTGAGGAGATTGTTCATCGAAGAGGGATAAACATGAAACGGTGTGTTAGTAAAAACGCTGGACCCCGAAAAGAGTAGAATTGGTGGGGTCTCACATTGATTGGAGAAAGGAATAATGTCAGCAACGATGCTGGGCCCTGAAGGATGGTTGGGGAGGAGAACGAAACAGTCGTGTGAAAACTTTTCCCTAGCGGTGCCGTTACAATAATTATTATAATTTAAAATTTAAAGCTAAATCCTCATTTTAATAAAAAGTACGGTTTTTTTTTTTTTTTAAAAAAAAGATTAATTAAAAAACTTACCAAATCGTGTCATTTTGGTGGAAGCTTCCAGAAGACGATGACCGGGTAATGGATGCGTAAGTTTGAAAATAGTGTAATGTTGGAAAGGCACGACGCCGGCGTTATGGGAATGGTTCGAATCCGCGTCAAATGCGTTCGGACACTGTCAACTTCAGCGCCGGTGACCGTGGCTTTGACCGGCGACCGTGATTTATTAGGCATTAAACTATTATTCTGCTCATACAAGTATACAACGTGATTGTTTCCTAGTAACAAGGACAGAGGGTTTAATAAAATTAATTTGGATTAATAATTAATTGAAAAAAAGTAAAATTTTATAATTTTATTTCAAATAAATAAATAATACTAATTTTTTTGCTTACTTTACTCTCTCTATGCATAATTAGTTTTGGAAGAAAAAAAAGAAATCAATAGTCCCTAAATCTTCAATTACATCCAATTAAACACAATATAAATTAAATTTTAATAATATTTTTAAGATTGTTTCTAAATATTCTATTTTCACACGATTAAATATATATTTTTTTTCTTTTTTTTCTTCTTTAAACTATTTAATCATAATTTAAAATAATAATAATTATTATTTTAAAATTTAACATGGTCATGAATATTTAATATTATTTTTAGATAATATCAATTTTATATTATTATTATTGATATGAATGCTTTTTCATTATTTTTCCCTTAGAAATTAGGTGATATTGATAATTCTTTTTTGCCATTTTAGTAGATTTTGAGATAAACGTAATTTTATTTTAAACGATTAAATAAATCAAGCAAAAAAAATTAAT